ATATCGTTAAGCAACACAGCTGGTACACGTTTTGGGTAATAATCATATAAGCATATACAGTTCAATTTTTCAACACTTTTCGATGCATTGTAAATAGTAGATAGTCCCATGTTGGCTACAGATCGTCCCTGCCTATCTTCAATGGTAGGATCCGCGCCATGCTTGAATAAATATCGAAAGATCTTATACCTGGCAGAAGATGTGTCGATGGTTGGTGTTGAAGACGTGTCCAATTCCAAATAAGCCTTCATCAGGGGGGTTTGTCCATTTTCGTTGGTTGTGTCTTTATCAGCTCCTCCGTCCACAATAATCTTCACTGGTTTATACTGGCCCTTCATTATAGCCCTGAACAGAAGTTTGGAGGTGGCTCTGTCATCCATTATTCTAGTTTGATATTCAGTTTGCGATGAAGCTAGATAACTGTGAAATAGTTTAGATGAACTCACTATTTATAGTTAATTTTGTATAATGACGTAGTTTGTTATAATGTATGTTTGTCACAGTTTGTATCATCGGCTCGGCGTATCGGGTTGATGATATGGTTTTGACTGGCACATGATATACACCTTATTTTACCTTCAATTCCTTTGGAACAAGATTGTTAAAAAATAAATATATAATACTGTTGGTGTTATTGTTAATAAAATTCCTCAGTTTGGAAATTTGTGATATCAAAGTTTTACTTTCTATACATAGAATTTACGTATTAAACGTGTTGCAACGTTTCAAGACCGACTGGTCCCTTTGTCAAGCTATGGCTGATTGAGCGGTTTGAACTTTTTACCCGGACAACGATGTGACGAAATTGTATATTTTTATGTCACTCGACCCGGCATGTTTCGCCTAACGATAGGGATCGTATACACACTACATCAGAAAGGTTACATGTAGGGTGTAGATCTATCCCCCTCTCCTTTATGTCAGGGTTGGGTCATGCAGATGACCCAGTTGGTGTCCCCTCTCGTCTCTGTTCATGTTCTAAGTTTCCTCATTTTGATTGCTACTTGGATTTGTTTCGTTTTTGTGTGTTGTTCCCTTTCAACTATATTGGCATTGTCCCAATCGATGACGTGATTTTGGGTGTTAGCGTGATTTGTTAATCCCGATTTATTGTACTAGGTGGCGGATGTATTACGAGTGATGTTGCTTATTTTCTCTACGTCCTTTTGATGTAGCTTCAAAACATACAAATGCCAAGAAAGTCGAAAGGGAACAGCACACAAAAACGAAAAATCGGGAAAACTCAGAAGATGAACAGAGACGATGGGGACATCAGCTGAGTCATTTGCATGACCCGATACTGACATAACAGGGGAGGAGGTTATATCTACACCCTACTTGTAACCTATCAGATGTAGTTGTGTATACGCTCCCCATCGATAGGCGTAATGTCCCGGGTCGAGTGACAATATACAATTTCGTCACATCGTTGTACAGGTACAAAATACAAATCGCTCACTCAGTCATAGCTTGACAAAGGGACCAGTCGGTCTTGAAACGTTGCGACACGTTTAATATGTACATTCTTTGTGTAAAAAGTAAAACGTTGATATCGCTGTTGGTGTTATTGATGGTAATTACAGGTGGCACTGGATATAATGAAGTAGTCTTAATTCTTCGCAAATTTCAATTTCCTTTACAGCAGTTTCAACATTTGTTTATTTATTTGCCCTTAAAAAACCTGTAAGCCTAGCCATATATTGAAACTGATGGAAATGATCAGTCCACAATACTGATCACATACAAAATAGCGTGCGTAGACAAGGACAAGGCATATTTGTTCACTAACTAGAGTCCTAAGGGAAAGTTTTCCTTGTTAATATTTTGTCCATCATACATATTCTCAATAAACGAATTAAGGGTCAGTGAAAAAAATACAAACTACCATATACATCAGCGAATCTATACATTTCCTTCGAAAGCGTGTTTCCGTCTGATTGTCATGACACCGTCTCAGATGGGGATCATCACCTGTCCAACATGCAACAGATTGGTGTCAATAACCAAAAATAGGATGGAAATGCCACAGTTATGGCTAATGGAAGAACACTGAACAGATAAATGACTTATATGATAAGGTGGTATATTTACAAACTATACTAGAGTAACCTATATAACCTTACTACAGAGATTGACAGGGGAGTAGTCACCTCTATCTTGTAGGATGTAGAATTATCCAATTGAAAACAAATGCTTTTAAAATAATGCTTTTCCACCGGTAAGTGAAATGGAATCTGTTGAGAATTTCTTTAACATTTCTTGTGATACAAATATACTTAACTATTTTGTAACACGCTACATTAAAACTGTAGTAAAGGGTGACTGCTTCCGATATTCTCTCCCTTGATAACTGTACACGGCCAGGTTTTGTAATGGAGACATATATAAACTGTGTGCCAGCGTACTATACTTTGTGTGTCATTGTTATATTTCAGGGGGGAAGTAAATTCCGTCTTTCGTTTATTAGTCTTCTATTGTACCTACCTACTGGTATCGGATCTTGACGGTTACAGTGCCAAGTTATTGACGTATAGTCCTATTTTTGAGCACGCATTTACATTGGGGAGTCTACACACATGTATGCACAACAGATCGCTACTTCGCAAGATTCAACTACAGATATATCTGATATTTAAGGTACATCTAAGTACCAAAAGTTAAAATAAGTTGCAGATTCTCCGTAGAAATATGTGTGAACCTTAAATTTAATTGAATACGATATTGTAAAAGAGTATGAAATAAAAAAAAAACTGTGGATGGTGTTTTTATATTTATACTTTAAAACACTTTTGCAGAAGGCTATTTGATTACTTGAATTATGAAAATTACTGGCTATATAACATGTATCATATAACTTGCACTATGATTGAGAGAGGTACTTAAAACCTTTTTACCGGAGTAATTACGTGAACCGCAATACGTGTTCGGTTGTCAAATGCGTTAATAGGCCACCTGCCTTAAGATCACCCACTGATTAAATGTTTTGTCAGCTGCGTAGATCTGTTATTTTCAAGTTTGAATGAAATTAATTGAAATCATGAGTATTTGAACAACGCGGCCAACGACGATGAGTTCCTGATCAAACACACAGTAAATTTGATTACACGTTTATTTTTCTCGTCTATTTGAATTTGAACAAAATATACTGCTAGTAAAAACAAATGTATATCATGGTAATAAATACAGGTGCTGTCATCCGCTAGTGGGACTTTCCTGCAGAGTAGATGTTTAACTATTGATCTAAAATCCTATTATAGACTAAATGATGTATTCCGTGAACTCGTCATTGTTATTCATTTTCGCCTGATTTCAAATTTCTGTTGAGCGTCAACCAACTTAATGGATATTATTTCATTGTATATATCCTCTGTAGACTGTATGACGTTTCAGTATGTTGTCACTTAAATGGCCCTGACATACGACTGGACCGTACATCACTGGACACCACCTATATAGGACTATAGCCGTAGTGAGGATGAACAACTCCGAACAAACATTTGTTGTCATTCCTGTTTAACGCATACAACTTTTACGGAAAATACGGCATATTTTTTTTTTCCATTGTTGTTTTTGTTCTGATACAATATTATTTCCATCTTCAATTTTTTGATAAGTGTCCGTAAGGTATGAAACTTCCTTCATCATTTATTTATTAAAGCTATACTCATGGCAGAAATGACAAGAACAGTTTGCGATGTGTGGTTGTAGTTTTCGGCTATGGTACGGGGATCCTAAAAACAGTTTCATAATTATTGTAAAATGAATAAAGTTTATATTTATATTATAATCTAGAACGAAAAAATAAATATTGGTATTACTGTAGAAGTTCTTATGCTGTGAACTTCTGTCATAAAGTACATGTTATCTCCACTCGACTAGGAAGTTTATATACGTTCAGAAATTTCATCATATAAATGCATCGATGCCTCTTAAAATAACATTATTAGTTTTGGATAGAAATGTGTCATTTGATGGACAGATTTGCAGAAAGTAAGGTTAACTCGAAGTCCATTCTTTTTCGTCGCAATTTTGATGGAACAATAAATTAAGTCCCATATGACCATGCATTTGCAAGCCTTGTGTGTCCTATCTTATTTAATTCATTTCATTTCACGTGATGACCATTAAAGCACCAACAAGGTGTAATGATAGCTGGGATATTATTCAAACATCTTTATGAATCGTAATATTGTAAAATATGTCATGAAAAGAACAAACCTTATCTTACCCACTGCATCATATGGTGGACACCGAACAACCAGCAGCGGGTGAGTCGCATCAGACAACAGAGCTGACAAGTTCTAACGATACCCCTACATCAAACGGTTCACAGTCATTTGTCAAACGCCCATCTGCTTCACATTCTGACCATTTTCAGTGTTTCAAGAGGAAAGGTCTTCATTTCATACATCTAAATGCCCGATCATTACTCAACAAACTGCACGAACTTCAAATTATTGCGAATAATTCCAGGGCAGCTGTTATCTCTATTTCTGAAACTTGGTTGGACAGTTCAATTACCGATTCGGAAATACATCTATATGGTTATAACATAGTTAGAAAAGACAGAAACAGATTAGGCGGAAGAGTATGTTCTTATATTAGAGACGATCTAGCCTTTACTCCAGTTGACGATGTTTACCAAGAAGACGACGAGGTGGTTTTGGTGGAACTACATCTCCCAAAAACCAGACTGATACTTGTGGGATCGTGCTTTAGACCGCCCAAACAATCTAACTTTACAGAGAACTTTGAACTAATGCTTTCAAAAATCAGATCTGACCGTGAAGTCATACTACTTGGGGACTTTAACATATGTAGCCTCAACAAAAATAATCCTTTATCAAAAACCTTTATGGGTGTGCTGAAACTTTTCAATATGAAACAACTTATAAAGGAAGCCACTAGAATTACGAACACTACCAAATCATTGATTGATAATATTTTGTGCAATAATAAAGAAAAGATTTGTCAATCTGGCGTATTATCGATAGGTCTCAGCGACCACTTTTTAATATTCTGTACCAGAAAATCCTCTAAATGTGTTTTTAATAAGCATAACAACATTCATATTCGTTCAACCAAAAACTATAAAAAAGAATCTTTTGAGAAACTTCTTTTGGAGGCTCCATGGGAAAAATGTATGTTTGCTGATAATTTAAATGAATGCTGGAAATCATTCCATGATATTTTTATAAAAGCATTGGATAATACTGCTCCTTTGAAGGAAATTAGACTTAAACAAAAGACAGAACCGTGGATGACAGCAGAAATTCTTGAAGAGATAAGAACTAGGGATACATTTTTGCACACATTTAGAAAATTTGGCCAAACCTCAGACTATAAGCATTACTGCAAACATAGAAATCATGTGCAGAGAATGGTTAGAAAAGCAAAAAATCAATATTTTGACCACAAGA